TCAGAATTTTTATTTTTAGGTGAACTATTCCTTTAAGGTCACACTAGTGGTCTGCTGCAATACAGGCCTCTCACAGAAACGTTTCTCTTTTTTTAATGCTCAGCTCTGTGAGTGTTCATATTAAAGCTCATGAGCTTTCTGCAGAGGGTGGTGATCTACGAAGGGGAGTCACAGAAAATATCGATTCCACACCAAAAAGACAAGTGTAGCACAAAGAAAAGAGGCAGGTGTGTGCTGTCTCGCTCTAAGCACTGAGAAACTTGGCATGTTTCCGTAGCTATCCAGTGCCTAATACTTGCCCTCAAGATGAGAATGTAACAAGTCAAGCCATAGTCCAAAAACGGAAAAACTCAATAGCTGAGCTGCTGTTAATCTATCATGTGTCCAGTGTAAATAGACAAATCTGTACAGTGGTTAAATATTACACGTAAGTGCATAATTCCAATCAATGTTCCCTCTAATTTTCTTCTTGCTGAGCAAAACTTTTCTCTATTGGGTGGACATTTCGGCCACCTGAGCAAAAACATTCTTTATCCCAGACCTGTACAGCGCACACACAAAAAAGTGTGTAACTTTTAACTTTAAATTAATGTGCTATTTGTATTTAATTTGTATTTAATTTGACCTGTGACTAAATGATGTACATTTTAGGTTACCTGAGAAATTTTTTTTTTTTTTTACAGTATAATACTGTAAAAATACACTGCCATTCAAAAGTTTGGGATCAATAATGTTTATTAAAGAAGTTTCTCATGCTCATCAAGGCTGTATCTATTTTGACGCGTTTCAGAAAGGCGGGGCATAGAGGAGAAACAATAATGTACAGTATGTGGAAAATAATGTGTTTTTTTAACCTTAAACCGCATAAACACATTTCATTACACCAAATACACAAAATAATGTTCTTTTTAGCAGCATCATATGACCCCTTTAAACAAGACACTCTTCTTTAATACATGATGACATTTTATTTCACATGTCATTGCGTTTGCGTTGGCTCTCGATTTGAGCTATTACGTCAGCAACCATTAAAATATTCGGTTTCTACAGCGACTCGTTTGGTGCACATCATTCTCTTTATATGAAACCTGTAAACCGCATTCCCCGGTTCTAACTCTATAGCGATATCAACTCTATAGCGGTTTACCCGAGCATTGCAATTCATTCGCTTTCGCAAATGGCTTTCCCAACTCATTTATGCATGTGTGCGGCACATTATTTCTTCTGCGCAGCTTAGAGGGAACATTTCTTATAACTCCTTAAAATAGCCACAGCGTTGATAAAAAAGACACCAATAAAATTACAATTATTTGTAATAACCAATGCAATAAACAATTCTTATGCTAAGTAAATAGTTTATTTGTGGAAATGTGGACCATTTGCGGTTGCAAAGTATTAATAGGGAATTCATTATATCAGCTATTTTGTAACCTCCACGACTCAGTCCAGAATAATAATTAGAGTATAAAAGGCTTATTTATTTGATCAAAAATACAATAAAAACAGTAATATAGTGAAATATTTTTACAATTTAAAATAACCGTTTTCTATGTGAATATATGTTAAACAGTAATTTATTTCTGTGATCAAAGCTGAATTTTCAGCATCATTACTCCAGTCTTCAGTGTCACATGATCTTCAGAAATCATTCTAATATGCTGATTTGCTGCTCAAGAAACATTTCTGATTATTATCAGTGTTAAAATCAGTTGTGCTGCTTCATATTTTCGTGGAAACTGTGATACATTTTATTTTTCAGGATTTTTTGATGAATGTGAAGTTTAAAAGAACAGCATTTATTTGAGAGAGAAATCATTACACATGTCTTTACTGTGACTTTACTGCAGTGTGTGTGTGTGTGTGTGTGTTTGCAGTATGTTGCGGAGCAGCTTCAGCTTCAGAAGCATCCTGTGGTTTGCACGTGTTCTGGCGCAGAGATTCAGGCCGTTCTCTCGGCTCTGCTCACTCGGATACAGAAATTGTAAGTCACGTAAACGCAGAGACCATTAAAGCCTGTTCACCAAGAGTGGAATGACTGAGTTAAACAGGTGTTTTGTAAAGAAAGCACTGACCTTTGAAGCGTAAAGTCCAGTGAAATCTGATCACATTTCTGTGTGTGTGTGTGCAGCTGTAACTGTAACTCGTCGATGCCGCGGCCGGTGAAGGTGGCGGTGGTCGGCGGTCAGAGTTATCTGGGATCAGTGCTGCAGTTCTTCGTCACTCAGCTGGCCAACAAGACGTCTGATTGGCTCAATCACCTCCGCTTCCTGGTCGTGCCTCTGGGTAAGAAAACACAACTCATGACAGCATCGCTGAGAGGAATGACGACTATGTGACATACCGATGGATATGATTTCTTTCTGTTTTTTGATGCGAATATTTTTGGATGTTAATTTCAGTTTCTGTTTTTTTTTTTTGCATTCTTTAAACTGGTTCAGGTTCTCATCCTGTTGCTAAGCACCTGGGTGCCCTTGACAACCGTTACAGCGCAGCCTTCCTGGACGGAGCCTGGAGAGACACATTCAACCGATCCGAACCGCCGCAGACAGGTACACACACACACAACACACACTCACAACTCACACACACACACACACACATGTACACAAACAGACACACACAACACACACTCACAACACAACTCACTCACAAAACACACACACACACAACAAAACACAACTCTCTCACACACACACAACACAACACACACACTCACACAAAGCTGCCCATCGCTGAGGCCATGCTGACCTGCAAACACAGAACGTACGGCTCCGTCTCACTCATTACAGCTGCACATGATTCAGTACTGTAGACATGACAGCCTCAGCCGTGTGCTTCAACTCACATATCACTTCCTCTTACAGGAGAGATGAAGATTCCTATCAGAAATTCATTCCCTTCATTGGGGTGAGTAGAAATCGCACCCTTATGTATTTCTTACAAGCCATAATATTGCATTTAGTATTAATTAAAATGTATTTGTATAATTAAAGTAGTCTTATGACAGTGAAATCATTCAGAGTTTTTGCCTTTTATATGTTAATAAATTAATAAATAAATTAACTATCAAAAATTTACCTTTTTTTAGAGATTGTATTTGCCCCTGGAATTTATTTTCATTTTTTACCTTTTATCTTTTTGTTTTATTTATCTTTTTTTATTTTTTATTTCATTTTATTCACCCATAAGTATTTCTTACTAGCAATAATATTGCATTTTACATTGATTGATTAAAATACATGTATATATCTGTGTTATGACAATGAACTTTTTCATGTTTTTGCCTTAAATGTCACTCAAAGCGTCATAAATTATAGCATGTGTTTTAATAAATTAAATTGAATGCATATCACAATAAATCTCTTGAAACTTAACTTTGAAAATTTACTCTTTTTTTTGTTATAATTGTGTAATAATTGCCCCCGAAATGAAATTTTCATTTCATTTTATTCACCCATAAATACTAGCCATAATATTGCATTTTGCATTGATTGAATAAAAAATGTATATTTGTCCATGACAAAAAAATTACTCATCAAATAGTTAATGCCTTAAATATTTGTTGCACTAGCACTTATGTCACTCAAAGCATCATATATTATATTATGTCATGCATTATAATAAATTTAATTGGTAACACTTTACAATAAGGTTCCATTAGTTAATGTTAGTTAATGTATTAACTAACATGAACAAACAATGGACAATACATTTATTACACTATTTATTAACCTTTGTTAATGCTAGTTAATGAAAATACAGTCATTCATTGTTAGTTCATGTTAATTCACAGTGCTTTTACTAATGTTAACAAGCACAACTTTTGATTTTAATAATGCATTACTAAATGCTGAAATTAACATTAGCTAAGATTAATAAATGCTGTAGAAGTATTATTCATGCTTAGTTCATGTTAACTAAAGTAGTTAACTAATGTTAACTAATGAACCTTATTGTAAAGTGTTACCATTTAATTCATAAACCCAGTAATTACTTTTTCTGAGGGGTACTATGTGCCCCTAGAATTTATTTTAATTAGATAACTTTCATCTTTTTATTTTATTAATCTTTTTTTATATTATTATTATTATTATTTTATAAAAGATTATTTTAAAGCAATAAACCCCAAGAAGCCGTGGTTTACAGTGAATTTATAACAGCTAAGGGGCATTGTTAGGCACGACGCGTAGCTGTTATAAATTCACTGTAAACCACGGCTTCACGGTGCTTATTGCTTTTATAAAACGGTTATTCCATATACATAGTAAGGTTTCACAAAACAAAACAGAGCAAATAAAGTGTAATGATATTAATAAAAACAGTATTCTTCCACCAAACAATGTAGTTCCTCAGAA